AGCAGGTGGCGCGGTGCCTGCGCGGATTGAGCGGCCCGAGCAGGCCTCTGAGGCGGCGGGCGCGCTCTCTCCTTAATTTCCTGCTCGGAGCTTAGTCATTTCTATTTTTCGTCGCAGAGCAAAATAATCAGCATTGTCTTTCATCGTTAATTGAGCCACGCTGCCTTTCAGTCATTATGGACCTGATCCTGGGCCTCTGGAGTCAGCAGGAATTTTGCACAGCTGTCCCAAGGTGGTTAGGTGCAGTCTTAGAGTCACATCGTACTAATCTGTTTTACTTTGTACGCTTCAAATTCGGGACTGTTTTGTGAGGGAACTGCCAAGCTATTTATGTTATGTTATGTTATGTTATGCTATGTTATGTTGTTGATCTAAGAGGGCTCACTTGGGGGTAATAAGGCTGTTACCTTTTGTCAGTCTCATGTATTCCCAGAAAATTTAAGGACTGATTCCTGAAATCTGTCATCAGTTACATTCACATTTTTCCCTGATCTCTCCCTGCAATGACTAGGGTGTAAAAAGTTACATTTGTAGTTCTTTCTTCTCTTACCTTTGGAATTTTACGTAAAGTATGCTGTTTAAAAACAAATCAAGCTGAGTGTTCAATGGCCCACTCTATTTCCTACAGAAACAGGGATCTTTTAATTTGCTCTTAAATTGCCTTTCAATGAAATATTACCTTTATGTAAGAGGAGTATAGTGCAGGGAATGGCTACTTCATTTTGTCTCTGAATTTGATTTCTTTAACTGCACTTAAGTAATTTGATAAGCCTGTATGCTTTAGCATAGACCATCTAAAAGGAAAGAAAATGCAATGTGATAATGCATTTACAGAGTTAATCTACAACAAGAGGACTGTGGATCATTTCTCTAGATTTTTCTCTTTTTTTATTTTCTTTTTTTTTTTTTTTTTGTAAATCCATTAGAAGATTTACAGGAAGGACTCTTTGAGTGTCACCATTTTAATTTAATAATTGTGTCTCTAGATCAACAAGAGACACTTCTGTGCCTTTCACTGATGCTTTCTGCCCTGGCTGTTGGCATAGCCCAGGTCTGCCTGAAAGCAGACAGGTTCTCACACCTGTGGGGACAGGGGAAAGGCGGCACAAGGGGCAGACAGCAGAGGAAGCTCAGGGACCCAGCATTTCTATGTAGCCTCCTTGACTTTACTAAGAGCTGCACAGAAGAACTGCTGCTGGAGGACTTCCCTGCACTGAGTTCAGCATGGAGCCAAAATCTGCCAAGGAAAGGCCTTTAAATGTAGGAAATAATTGTAATTCATTATCAGTATTCATAACAATGGGAAAAAGTTACCCAAGAGTTTTGTAGTAATGTCTGTCTTGCTTTTTCTTTGCTTGGCTAGCAGGTACCAGAGGCAGTAGTCACCAGTACTGTCATTTATTTTCTGTACGGACTGGATGCAGACCTAGCACACAGTAATCACAGAAATTAACCAAGCAGAGAGTACTTGAAAGGGCTTACACTGGAAATCCAAACCACATTTCACTAGTTCTTGAACTGCCCTGAACCTTCCAGTTTTGTGTAGAAACATGGGAGAGTGAAGTCCCCTTTTAAACTGCCCCCCCAAACTATTTAAATAGATGTTTCTAAGAATTTCTGGTATTGACTTTCTTTCCTTCAGTTTTTTGTCAAAATAGAGAGGGATAAATAAAAAAATTAGAGATTTTGTCAGCATTTTTTTTTTCTTCCACTGAACTAAAAGCGCATGGCCTAATTTTAAATTTAAATGTTGAAATTTTAGGTAATATAACCATCAAAACAGCTGGCAGCTACATATATGCTGTATATTACCCACTCTGCTAATAGAGTGCTGAAAGACAGTGAAAAATTTGTTTTATTCTTCAGATAGCCTCAAAGGCAAAATTTAACCTTGGAAAATAGCAGATAAAACACAGGTGATTTACATTAGATCTTAGATCAGATTGAAGTACTCAACAGAGCCAACAGTGTGCCCAGCTGGCCAAGAAGGTCAGTGTTATCCTGGCCTGTATCAGGAGTAGCGTGGCCAGCAGGGCCAGGCAGGGATTGTCCCCCTGTACTCGGCACTGCTGAGGCCACATCTCAAGTGCTGTGTCCAGCTGTGGGCCCCTCACTGCAAGAAGGACATTGGGGTGCTGGAGAGTGCTCAGAGAAGGGCGATGGAGCTGGTGGAGGGTCTGGAGCACAAGTCCTTTGAGAGCAGCTGAGGGAGTTGGGGGTGTTTAGCCTGGAGAGGAGGAGGCTCATTAGGAACCTTATCAGTCTCTACAGCTCCCTGATAGGAGGTTGTTGTGACGTGAGGGTCAGTCTCTTCTCCCTCGTAACAAGCAATAGGACAAGAGGAAGTGATCTCAAGTTGGACCAGTGGAGGTTTTAACTGGGTATTACGAAAAGTATTTCACTGAAATACTTTGTCAAAGATTGGAACAGACTGACCTGGGAAGTCACCATCCCAGGTGGTATTTAAAGGTGTATTTGGGGCCCTTGGGGACATGATTTAGTGGTGCATTTGGCAGTGCTGGGTTAACAGCTGGATTCACCCTAAATGTCATTTAAAACATAAATGATTCTATGGCTCTGTGATAGAATGACTTAAAAAAGTTGTCTTGCAAAATTATGCTACACACCTATTTTCACAATTACTGGCTCTATTAGAGACCTAAGAAAGGAAAAGTTAAATAAAACTTCATTGTAAATTCAAAATAAACAGTCTGAAATTTTTATTTTGAAATTGCAATGCTTGCCATATGAGCTCTTTAGGAAAAAAAAAAAAAAAGCATGAGTATCTACATCAAGTAAAAGCCTGAGTTATGCACTTTCAGACTGTTTCACTCAGATTAAGAAAGTCTTACATTTATACCGTGTAAAAGTTTCGCTCTACAGCCTGTTGAGAAGAACTGTTTAAAAGTATGAGGCACTAAGTCAGATATTCAGAAGTCCTTTATCTTCAGCTCTGCTTGGCTTAATTGGAGTAAAGTACCATTTTTTTCCCCTATAATCCCTCAAGCAACTCCATGTGGAAAACATCTCTTGTGCTTTGTGAATAAATCTTGAGGGTTCATACTGTGAAGTGGAAGCAATTGGACATTTTTTATTTAAAAAAAGGAGTGAAAAAACCTCTATATAAGAAACCAGATTAACTAAATTAAGCTGGGTAATGAACTGAGCTGTCTTTCCTGTCTCTGTCTCTTGGACAACTCAGGTTCCTACCTTTTATTTTAATACAAAATTCAAACTGCTCACTGAAATTATTGGACAAGAATTTCTGTGAAATACATAGGCTTAAGTTAAATGGGTTTTTAAAAATGTTGCAATGAATAAATATCAGGACTGCCAATGTCTCACAGTAGCATCTCCAAATTCTCTGCAATCCCTGTTAAACACAAACTTCTGACCACCTAGATGCTGTTTGGTCTTATTCCTGGAAAATGAACTAGATTTTACAGTTAATAAGGTATTGAATATTATTGACATGTCTCTTTCTTCACATTACCCTACCATTTGTGTCAGATTACTAGCATGAGAGGGATGACAACCTTGATAGCTGATAAAGTTTTCTTTAATATCAGATGCTGGATTAAGTGTGACAAGGAAGAAATAATTTTTAAAAATACTATTTTACCATTTCTTTTTAACTTAAGATGCTTAGGCAAGATCCCAATGCATTACAAAGTTAAACTAATTTAAGCCTTATAGATCAGCAAATCCTCTTCATGACAGTGCCTCCTTAAAGCTGGCTGACGATTATTTCCAGCTGTGTTCTCCATTTGTTTGCAAACTAGAACTTTTATTTTGATTGTAATAATGCACTGTGCAATTAGTATAATCTCATAATTTCAGGGTGAGTTAACACAATTTAACTGAATTAAAAATAAGATCAATACAGAAAATAATTGCTCCTTGTAAATGCATAGTTGTCAAACAACTTGCTTTTAGAAATCTGGAGTTAAAACATTATGCCCATTACAAAATTATTGAGCTATGATGAGCCAGTGAAATAATGATTGTCATACAGCAGGGCAAGTCTTGTCCCTGGACCAGCCCCAAACCAGCTCTCAACAGAGATGTGTTTTCTCTTCCACTTACCACCTCTAAAGCCAAATCTGAAGACAGGAGCGTCCTTAGCCAGTTGCTGCTGCTGGGACAAAAGATGCAGGAAGTCACTTGAATAACTCAGCCCAAAGCCAGCTAGAAATCCCCTGCCCGTGGCACATGGCTGAGTGAGCAGACTGCCACATGCCACAGACGCTGGCATTCCTGAGCAGTTTTCAAGGTTACCGCGTATCAAGTGCATTGCAGAAGTCAAGTCAGGAGGTACCAAAAGCACAGATCCTCTGGGACTGCTCATCAAGATAGGAAAGTTCCTATTATCTGGCTGCCTGGGGCAACCAAAACCCCACTTAATTACTGCCCTTCAGACAAGGTGGAGACCTGCATTTAAAAACTGTATGTGCACTGATTGAGCAGCACATAAAGCTGAAACGGAAAACTGGCTCACTGCCTCAGAGTTTCCAAGTACGTGTCCTCGAAGAGAAGAAAACTATCAGGGGAGGCTGCCATCCTGCCTGCTTTTTTTTTTCCTAAATTTGTCTTCTTGACACAGACAGTCAGTCACCACTGAGATTCCATTTCAGAAAGTGGGGATATGGCTGGCTCCCCAAAATGTGAGCCATTCATATCTTCCTCTCCAAGAACAAATCTCTGGTCCATAATGTTTTTGAACAAGGCAAAAAACTTTTTTTTTCTCCTAAGCCATTATAGTTGTGTCTGTATGACTTATCTGGATGACTAGGCAAAATATTCCATTCTGGCACCAGACAGCCTGTGCTTCCCTTAGGTTAAGGAACTATAATGTGAAGTCACAGCATCTTGTCAGTCAATCAGGAATGCCAAGTTATTTTCAGTACAGCAACAGTACTATTTGTAAGGAATATTAATTTTGATCTGTATATGTGCCTTATAGTCAATAGCCCAAACGTCTTTTTCAAGTTAAAACAAAATATCAGTTTTCAGAATGCGCTTGTACACAACAAACTAAAAGCTTATTTTAGTACTGAGGTACTCACTGACTGTGTAATTTCCCATATTGCTGCTTCTTCATAGATGAATCAATTGATGACAAAAAAGAAAAATCAAGATGATTCTAAGATCCCTGTCATGGTGTTTTGCTTCCCAGACCCCTGCACCTCCATTGCGGACTGCAGAAAGTATGGAGGTATGGATACAGCTCTGCAAGTTAACAGGTTAAGAACAAACTCATACACAAAAAAATTCTCATCTGACGACATCTGACATCTGTTCTTTATTACTTTGTCTCATTAGGATAATAAAACCATATTCGGATTTGGTGCTTAGTAATCACCTACCTGTATGCCTCCTCAACCCCAAGACTCCTGGTTAAAACAGTATTAGTTTCCAAAAGTCAGGGTTTGATCTGAGTTGTACAGGGGTCCAATTATCTAGTGTAGACTGACACAAAAGCTCTTCATCCTCAAAGCTGCAGCTATGAGCCTTAGTGTCTTGCTCTGGGCATGTGGGGTTGTATGTAATGATGGCAATTGGTAATGCTGGATTTTGAAACTTGAGTGACACCACTATGAATCTGGAAAGCAAAAAAAAAAAAAAAAAAAAAATGGAGAAAAGGCATCCATCAAGGTACAGCATGGTTACACTGTCCACTTCCTCTTTGTTAATTTAGAGACTGTCTTAAATTATTAAAGTTAATATCTCTTTTCTCTTATGAAACAATGACTTTTGTGTAATACTGCTGACTTCCACATTAACATTTTTGGCTGTTCACAGTTGGTTTTAAGAGGCTTTGACTGAGACAAAATATATAAGAAGATAATCATCAGACAAAACTGTCTTTTTCCATGGAAGATAAGTGTTCAAACATGTACAACAGATATATAAATTAATTTTGGAAACATAAATTTTGATGTGCAATTCCACCTGATATATCCAGAAAACACTTATTATGTATGTGATTCAGACCCCTCACAAATAGAAGTGATGTTTTGGAAGGCATGTTTTGATGTATTATAAAGTGGGATTCACGTTTTTACAGTGCTTCCAGCATCCGAGACTTGCAAACCAGATTTTCTTGGCCCACAAAAAACAAACATTACCTCCACCTAAATAATTAGTGACATTTGAAAGACAGGATGAGTTGTCAAGACTGCTCTATTCTTTGAGAAGAGCATAGGAAGACATTTATTTACCTCCCAACTACACAGTTAGTTTTCTGTGCAATTTGAGATTTCAGTGATATTGCTTTAGTTATCCCCTACAAACTAGCATTAATTATTCCTCACTCTTCTGATTTAACATTGCTTCTCCACGTGTACCACAAAAAGGACAAGCACAGCGGGATTTTACTCTGTCTCTGTTCCCCCTCTGTAATAAATGCATCTCCTTACTGCATGTGCCTGCTCCTTGATTTAAATGCTGCTTTTCTTCTAAGAGGCACAGGAAAAAAAGTCTAAGATGGTTGGTGATTTCAGCTCAGAATGTGGGCAGGTGAAAGTACATTTTCTGTGCTTAATTCTTTAGACAGCTGGGACAGATGTGCAGGGCAAAGCATGCAGGGTCATTGTGCATAAGAGTTACTTCTATTTAAGCACTTAAACAGACTCTCAAAGGATTCAGCAGTGTACAACTATAATCAGCAGATAGTGCCTATGCTAGACATGTCCAGGCTTTGCATGTTGAATGAACATAGGCTGTTATAAAATCACATCCTCTTCTTTCATCATTCAAAGAGCATCTACTACCACCTCCTTCTGATATCAAAGAAAGTACCAAAGAAGGGCATGGAGAGATCTGATAAGAAAGACACATACAAAAACTAGAAATCTTTCTGTTAAGAAATGAAATGAGTGTCTCTGAGAAGAACTTATTCCACATAATACCGCAGCAGAAGAGAAACACTGAGCAGCTTTTCAAAATATGTCAGGTTTTATTTTGCTAAGTGAATATGATAAAGAAAAAGTTACACCAACTGAAAATTTGTGCTCTGAAAGGGGAGATTCCACCTACTGCTTGCACTGACTACATCTGGGACTCATCTCATCAGACATGGGCTGTCTCAAGCCAGACCTCCCAGGACACTGTCCTAAGGGTAAACCTGTGGAACACAGGGTGGGTCTGACATGTAGCTCCTCTCCTCTGAATTATAGAATTGTTATAGTTGGAAAAGACCTCCAAGATCTTCAAGTCCAACCTTTTACCACCATAACAACTATATCACTAAGTGCCACTTCTATGTCATTCATTGAACTCTCTGAGGGAGGGTGACTCCACCACTTCCCCAGGCAGTCCATTCCAATGCTTAAGCACTCTTTCAGTGAAGCAATTCTTCCTAACAGAAACAAACACAACAGCATGCATGAACTGCAGTTTAGGAGTGTGCATTCCTTCCATTGGTGGTGCTTATATGTAGGCATCCACTGTAGGCATCTTTACATTAAATGTATTCAGTAACCCTAGTTTTTCAATCTGGCAAAAATGAGAATTCAGAATTACTAGTTTTAAATTAAAAGTCATTGTGAGGTTAGCTATTTTTTATGAAGAGTGCCATGACTGAATTTGGGCTGATTGTAGTCTTTTTTTTTCAATGCATGGTATATAACAATGTTATAATAAAAGCTAAGATCAAGGCAAGCAAGCCTCAGAAATTAGTTGCAGCTACAGGACACGCAAAAGATATCTAGCAGTCTGACAAAAGATAGGCCATTTATTGTATTTCCCGGAGTTATTGATAACCTTTAACTCATCAATAATGAGTGTGAGAAATGATGTATTCAGAGAACGACTTCTATGTTCTGTTTATGCAATAGTATTTGATGATGAATGTGTTACGAAGAGCAACGTCTGGGCATTCAGAGCTAAGGAAGTTTCTGTGAAGGACTTTGCAGTCACCAGGAGGGACTAATACCATCCTACACATTCTTTTTTTAACAGACTCCCTCCTGGTTAGCTTAAGTTTTGGCTGCCAGTGAGGGACAAATAAACCCCATAGAAATAACCTGAAACTATAGAATTGGATCAGCATAGGAGTTTTCTTTGGAGGAGGTGAAAATATGTTTAGATTTGAAAGACATTTGTGTTCTGATTCTGTCCATTTTTTTCTTCCCTTGTCCTGGCTAATACAATTGGAACTACAAATAAGAAAAAAATCATCCTGTTAGAAGAGTTTTCTATCATAAAGGACTAGTTGGCTGACCCAAGAAAACCCTCAACCATCCCTTCCAACCCCCAAAACCTTTCCTGGAAGTGAGCTAATTAAAGTACTTGCTTCAGCAGAACAAAATCACTTCATTTTGATCTTTATAATTTTGACTTTCAAATTATATGTTTCTATAGAATTTCAGACTGCATTTTCCTGAGTGTCTGATTTCCTAGGAAATTATTTAAATTCCATCTTTTCATTTGAATTGGAAAGAGAAAGATAATGAAATATAATAATTCCTTACAGGATAATTCTGTAATTTCAACTATTACTGATCAGTGGCAGGACTTCTTAGGAATTATATCTGGAAGTGTTTTAGGAGAAAGATATATTTGTAGTCAGGGGAAGGTCTAGTAATAATAACATTTATTTAGAATACAGTTTTTAATTGATGAGGAAATAATGATCATAAAATGATTTTTCTCTGCTGCTTTTTATGATCTTGTTTCAAAAGAGCATGTGCAATCATGCTGGGGATCCTCTTGTAGCATTTTAAATTAAGACTATGTAAAATACTTTAAATAAATAAAGTTCCTTCTATCTGAAGTGTTTTCTTATGTTCCAGATAGCATAAACACTATATCATAGAATTCTTTCTGTAAAAATATCCAAGGAAAGAAAACAGCTAACCTAGCAAAACATAAATTAATAGGAAATGAAGCAATATTAGAGAAGTGTATAGGGCTATGGAAACAGTCCCACATGACAAGCTGCCTTTAAAAATTAAAATCTGAACACTCCATGAATGTTTCCACAATAGTATCAACAGTCTGTGTGGAAAGGAAAATGTTGTGTCTAGCACTGTGATTTTAATAGAAATAGAGGTGATTTTAATGTTACGGATTGTATATAATCTCATTGTGTCATTATGCACAGATCATTAAGTACTTGAGGACCATGTGCAGTTTGAGGCTCAGGACACTTAAATCTCAGCAGAGAGGAGGAATCTATAACCATCTACTTCTCACAGCTGGCATGCAACAGATGGGATCCTTCAGCTGTGTGTGCTTCCTGTCAGGCAGTCTCTCAGAACTGGAGAACTGGGTGGTTTGATTTCATAAGGAGCACAACACTTGTCCTCGGACCAAGGTATTGTGCCTACAACCCATCACAGAAAGCCTTGAGAAAGAGCTGCACCCCCAGGCACTGTTATTCCTGAGGGGGAAACTTATTTTTCAGTTTTTAAAAAAGTAAGATTAGGTTCTTTTCACAATATTTAGTGCCTTGAAGTAAAGAAACGGTGGGAAAAGATTTCACAGTTCTGAAATAGTAGGAATGAGGGAGCTAAGAAATTACAAAAAACAAAAACTGCAGAACATTCCTAATTTCTGTACCCTCCTTAAAAAGTGAAAATCTCTTTTGTCTGAATTTTGAGAACCAGTGCCATCTTTGCTTATTTCTTCCAAAGAATCTCACATAGAATTAAAAATAAATGGAAAGTTAGAAAAAAAATGGAGCCCTAAAATCCCAATGATTACAAATCACTAAAGGATTAAAATGACTTTCCTCTATTGTGGCTTGCAGCCTAGAAACAGGATATATAGTAAGTGCTGCTACTGTTAGCTAATGGAGATTCTGCTTTAGCTCAAGCGGTAGCGCTGTTGCTTTGGGATAGGAAGGTTGTGATGTCTTGCCTAAAGGGATATAAGTGTTGCAATTCAGGTCCCAAATGAGAAAAATTCTTCACATTGGTGCCCAATTAGTGATCTGATTCCTGGTGTTAAGTCTAATGCAATTTAGCACGCACCTGCTGAATAGCCTGCATGCCAAATACCGACCCCACTGCTCTGGCTCTTTGTCTTTGTTCACAGAGTTTAATGTTTTGTTGCAGGGTAGGGAGCAAAGCATAAGAGAAAGGGGTTTTTGAGAACATTTGTGAGAACAAAATCTGCAGATTTGCTTCAGCAGTATTTCAGAGCTGCTCACGTTTGCTTTGCCGCAAAAGGATGTGGATATTCACCGAGTGCATGACCTAGGAATATAAAACTTATACTAACAACCAGGCAATATCTTACTGTCCCAAGTGGTGATAATCTGACCTATTGACCTAAAAGATGCCAAAAGAGACAGTTTCTGCCCTGACTTTATGGTCTGAAATATAGAGAAGACAGGACCCTGCAGACACGCTAGCCTATCTTCTTTTATTCCTATGATTCTGTATTTCTTGTGGTCACTGCAGAATGCAAAGTTTGGAAATAATTTAAATGAGATCTGAACACAGGCTTTTACCAACATGTAAGCTTGTAGTGAGTTGACATGGTTTCCTAAGGGTAGCCACAATTAATTTATTTAGATTAAAATAATTAAAAAGATGCCTGTCTAAGGATCTGAACTCCCTCACATACCATTAATAATACAATAAAATCCCAGAAGAATGAAAATAATCACACCAACAGGAACCCAGCCAAATAGCATCCTACAGAGACTCCTTTCCAACCTTTTATCATTGTGGGAAGTATACCTTCAGCCCTGTTAAAGAATGCTATTAAACAGGTGTGATTTGGAGATAACTCTGGAGTTCTTTTGTGCCAAAAAGGACGCTGAAGTGTTAGAGTCTTAGGGACACCCTGAAAGTACCCAATTGCCCCTCCATGGTGGAATAAGTGGGAAATCAATTCAGGCATCAACTGCTGACCAGAGGCAGCAACCCTAGTAAACACAGAAAAAATAAAAAATAAAAAAAATAAAATAAAAAACCCATCATATTCGGGATAATTTTCAGTACTAAAGGCTTGGCAATTTTTAATGTGTTAAGCTATGGAGGACTGTGCAATTCCAAAGTCCTGGTACAATATTTTTAGTGAGAAGTTTTACTCAGAAATCTAACTGCTACATTTTGTCTCCAAAGCTGCCTTATCTTTAGCTTTCATGCAACTTCAGTGTAATAATACAGTCTAAACCAGGCAGCAGCAAAAGCTCTCAGAGCATCCAAAGCTTGGTTAATAATTTCCAGAGTATCAGTCTAAAGGAAAAGCTGCAGTCTCTTAGCCAGTCACAGCTGACAAGAAGGATTGGCAAATTGTGTATACAAAATGATTTTCAAAAATTGATGGAGGATCCAACCAATCACTTAATTTTGTATTCTAAATGGAAGCAAAGGCACACCAAGTTCTTGTAAAGATTCTAATAGTTCTTTGCCTCTTCTTGAGTGCACCATCATTATTTACATCTTGCCCAATTTGGCAAGCTCTTGGTGGTAGCTCCTTTTTTCCCAAGGCACCATTCTAGATGTTTGCTCACATAATCCAAATTAGGAAGAAATCAAATATCCTGTGTTTCTAAGCAAAATTATGGAGTATAGCAAAATATCCAAGTGGCTTATGAGATAGGCACCAGTTTAAAATTAAGAACATACACATTTATATGGTCTTATATTGCTTTATGAGAACAGATCTGAGTTAAAATTGGAGCATACACTGCATTGATCAAAGCCTGTCCTCCTGGTTTAGGAACTCTAATATCTGGTCCTGCAAAAGGAATTTCAGGTTGGAAATGGAAGTCTAGTAGTGCTAGCTCTGGTCCAGCAACCTGGATGGCTCTGTGGCAGTTTCTTCCTTGTCTGCAGTAGTTTAGGCTGAAGTTTCAGATTCCACTCAGAAGACAAATGCACTCCAGTTAGTTGCCTAAAAAGGAGCAAAAGTCTCAGAGCTCCTGATAGCTCTTGCCATTCCAGCAAGTAACACTAAGGTTTGGGTCAACAGCAATTCAAAGTGGAAAAGATGAATATTTTCAGTAGCAGCTATTTTAACAAGTTACTAAGGGACTTGTGAAATTGTGAAACAATGGAAGTCTTCATTGCCTTCCTGGAAGATATTTTTAATCAATGGAATTTGGATCGGCTGTGTAAAATACATGAAGCTGAGATATGAAAGAATTCAGAGTAGATGATTTTAGTTATTTAAAGGATTTTTTTGTGATCTTTAAATCCATGAAGAATGGGGATATATTGTCTCACAATCTAATGTCTATGACCTAATTAATAAAATCTTTGATTTTAGGTGACATTCTCACATGGCCCTATGTAACCTACACCTGTGTATTCTTTTTTGAACATCAGTCAGTAGGACTCAAAACTGGTGAAAACACTGACTCTTCGTGCCACAGCTGAGAAGTGTGGTTGTGCTTTCATAAGTAAAGCAAATACTATCTGCAGCCCACCCCCTGCAATACAACTAGGAGAAATGGGTTTGCTAGCACTTTTACAGGCCCATTGGTTTCCATACAGCAAAATGTTAATTAGCTGCGCAAAATTCCACACACTAGCTCCGAGAAAGAGCAACTTTTTCTTTTAATTTCTGGCCATCTTTTGATGAGCCACCCAGTACTGACTCAGCGGTGCTGGACCTTCACTGGGGGCCCAGAACTCTGCAGCTGCTCTAGCTCTGCATTTGCCTAGAGCAATGTGCCAGCTGTCTCTGACTGTATTCCACCACAGTAATGCGAACAACTGGAAGCAATAATGTGTCTCCCCATTTGCCTAACAATACCAACATGAACAATAATTCAGAAGACCGAAGATTTGTGCTGTAATTTAATAAACCCCATGCACATTTCTACAATTGAGTATCACATCTGTGCAATGGATCCTAGAAGTGTAATATTCTTTTATAAGGGACCATTAACCAATCTTAAGTTTATAGGTTTCCTTAAATCTTTTTCATCAGCTGTTAAACTACAGTAAAGAGAAAATTGCCTCTTATGAGACAAGGGATAGTAAAATACAAAGACTGTGATTAAACGTCAATCAATTAAGGATTATAATATAATAAAAATGCTGACTGATGATTAAAATGAGTACTTTCTGGCAGAATTTTATAAGCAATATTAAGAATTGTTTTTAAAAGTCAACAGAATAAGCCCCACTTATATCTTATTATGTATCAAGGACACTGTCTATTTAGAGGAGAGGAGAAAAAAGAATTGTTATTCTGACAAAAATACCAAAGAAGCAATTGGTTGTCGGTCTTTACATTAAATAGGATACATTTCTTTCTGTCATTTATTTTATTATACCCCTGACTCCTCCATTTTAAATCTATGAATGGAGTAAATAATGTGATGTATTTTTATTTCAGCTGGCATTTTGCAAGTTCATGCAACTAGGCTGCCTTTCATGAAAGTGAGTAACAGATCATGCAGTAAACATTATAAAAAGCAACACGCAAAATATTATTTCATGTAACAGACCTAAGAGAGTAGCTCACCTGAGGGCAGGAGAGCAGTTTGAGAGCAATATTTGCATGTGTCTCTTTACTGAAGGTATTTTAGTAATATTTCAAGGAAAAACCCTATGAAATTTAGGATTGAATGAATGAATTCTACTGAGATTCTTACATAGAAAGAACACTAATAGCAAATAGGCTTTTCTAGTCCATATGAAACACCCATCAAAATTCTGTAGCAGGAATATAGTTTTCTACTAAGTTTTACAGTCTGTTTCAAGAAAGCAATAGAAATTTTTCAGTTTCCATAAGGAAAACTCCTGCCCTCCTGCTCCCATAGGCTGCTGAATGGCTCTGAATGGCTCTGAATGGACAAAACCCACATTAGCATTTAGTGTCTCAGGTCACAATTCCTTTTTGCTATTTGATCTTGTCTTTAACGAGCCACATTCATCTGCAAGCAGAACTTTCTCCTCCTTTCGAATTTCTCAGCATAACTTTAATTTAGGTTTAGGAAGAAAACAATTTTTGGCAAACTTCCTCTATCACTGTTGATAGCACTAACAATTTGCAGATTACCAAGACATATGAGTAGTCTCTTCGAATTTTGAAGCCATGGTCATGTAAGGAAGAGCAGAAATTTGGTGAGATATCTACGTAATCAAAACAATTTTCAGTAATTCTCCATCTGGTCACAAGAGGGCAGTATTCAAATCATTAATCTTTGAACATATATTGCAGGTATTATGTGTACGCTCATCACTTCATCTCCTTACCTTAGACTCCTTTTATAGTCAAAGCATACAGGGAAGGATTTCTAGAATAATGAGTTTATGCTGAAGATATTAAGTATTTTCACTTAAAGTCCATCACAGTGGGTAAGCTTCCTGAACTGAAATACCATAGCCACATGTTCACCGCACCTGGTAGCAAAGAAAGGAGGAGATGAACCTATGGCTCATGATGGAAGATGGGACAAA